CTTATTAACCATTCAGTCTTTATAATATATTATAGTACTTGTGATCACTATATCCGACACCTCAGCCTCGATCTTGCCCGAGAAAACATAAAAATGAGCCTTGTCAACTTAACGGGCAATCTCTTCATATGCCCAAGTTGCAATTTCTGAAAACTTAGATCGCGGAGATTAGTTCCTGTATGATTCGAGTCCAAATTATGACAAGAAAACGGGAGAGATAGGGCTAAGATTCTGCTGCGCCCTATCCTGCTCTGGCAGGATAAATCCCATTATAAAGGCACCGCTTTGGCGGGATAAATTTTGCCTAGCAACTCCAACGAGACTAGAACCCATGCCAAAATTTCTGGGTTCTTTTTCACTCTTTTATGATTTTCGACGGCTCCATTTACCATTCAATTGAATTTTTACATTTTTTCAAGGTAGAATATATAATACTCGATTCATATTGTTGTAAACAACTCAACATCACAACAACACCTCCCCTATCCTATACATCTCAAGATTAATAGCTATAATTTGTCACAACAGATTTCACAATATTGAGGGAATTACTCTTGCATAACTTTAATGACCACACAAACATATTGTACATATCAAAGTCCAGGCACACATTTATTGTGCACATAATCACCTCATTACTTTCAAGTAATTATAATTTCACATTAGCAGTTAATTTAGACAACCGCAGTACGCATTCGAAGACGAGAATGTGTGTGGTTAAGGTCCATTATACACCTTATTCGAGAAAAATGGGGTTTGAAATGCGACAAAGTACCCACAACCTTATATGAAGATAATGGAGGATGCATAACACAACTTAGGGGAGGATTCATAAAAGGCGATAGAACGAAACACATTTCACCAAAGTTTTTCTACACACATGAGTTAGAATGGTGAATCAACGTACATCAAGTTCGTTCGAGTGATAATGTGGCTGATTTATTCATCAAGTCTTTGACAACCATAACTTTCGAGAAGAGGCAGCTAAATCATGGTTTTCATCAGGGGTTGTAAAATACGAGTTATACTCTTTTTCCTTAATCAAGGTTTTATCCCACAGGATTTTTCTGATAAGATTTTTAGTGAGGCAGCAAGTAATGCGTATTAGGATCAACTATTTACATTTGTTACTTTAATAAAAATTTATTTTAAATGGATATCCAAGGGGGCTGTTATAAATAACAATTAGTGAATGTCCATTATACCCTATTATGCCTATAAAAGACATTGTAATCTCTATGAAAAATACACCAAAATAAGAAAGATTCAAGTTTCTTATTTTATCTCTCTACTACATTCTTCTCTTCTTAATTGTCATTAATTTACTTTTAGTACTTAATCCTTATTTTATAACACTTCTCATTTTATTATTTTTATTTTCTCTTTTATTCTTTTCTCATTTATTATTTTTATTTTCTTATTTATTTTTTAATTCTATTTTTATTATTTCATTTATTAGAGATACCATATAACAATTTTATTTTTTCTACTTTTTGTTAGTTTATTTTGTGTTAGATTTTTTTTTCTCTCAATCTATATTTTCACCTTTTAAAGAAAAATAAAATAAATTAGTTTTATTCTTTTTCATTTATTATTTTTATTTTCTCTTTTATACTTTTTTCTCAATTATTATTTTTCCATATTATCATTAATTAGTGTTATTATTTGTTTTTTTTTTGGTTAGCATCTTCTTTTTATTTTTTTTCTCCCCTTCTATAGTTTTACATTTTTATGAAAATAAAAGGGATAATGCCCAAGTACCCCCTCAACCTATGCTCGAAATCTCAGAGACACACTTCTACTATACTAAGGTCCTATTACCCCCCTGAACTTATTTTATTAATAATTTTTTACCCCTTTTTAGCTTACGTGGCACTATCTTGTGGGCCCAATGATGGTTGACTTCTTTTTTTGAACTAGTGCCACGTAGGCTAAACAAGGGTAGAAAATTACATATAAAATAAGTTCATGGGGGTAATAGGACCTTATTTATTATTTTTTTCTCATTAATTATTATAATTATTATTTTTCATATTTATCCTCTAATAGATATATCATTTGGTAATATATACTATTACACCATCATTTATTACAACAATATATACACATACTCTAATAGTATCACTTACTAAATTTTTGAATAAAAAATCTTAATGATACCACTAATATATATACACACATCCTTATAGTATTATTCTATATTTTTTAATAAAAAATCTTAATGATACCACAAATATATATACACATCCTTATAGTATTATTTATTAATGAGTAATTAAACAAAAGACATTAATGATACTACAAAAATATACACATAACACATACACACTTACATAGAGAGAGACACCTAATTGTTTATTGATTAATGATAAAAAAAAAACTTTAATTATACTACAAAAATATACGCATATTCTTATAATATTATTGACAATGATTAATTTCTGAACAAAAAATATTAGTTAATTATATATATATATATATATATATATTATATTAGTTGGGGAGGAGGGGTATATAGTATAATTATTTAGTGGGATATAACTACAAAGGGGTTTGTAAGTATTTTGAATTTATTGAGTATATTTTAGTTTTCCTATACTTTTAAGTGTATAAATTACAACAAAATTATGAAGGTTATGTCTGATATATATATAATAAAAAATTTGTACTTTGAAAATTAAAAGTTTTGTCATGAATCAATGTGGATGATAGGAAAAGGAGATAATATTTTATGAAGCTTTATTGTATGATGGTTGATAATAATATATGAATTTGATTATAACGATTGAGATGAAGTAAGAGCCTTACTATTATACTTTTAATGAAAATGATTGTCCACAGATATGAATGACATAAGTCAAGTCTTACTATATTGGAAAGTGTATTTTTTTTAAATGAAATTTGACTTTTTCTTTAAAAAAAAAAAGAAAATATTTCCCTCTATATTAAATTCATAAAAGGAAAAAAAAAGAGTCAAAAGTACACCCTTGTCTTGACTAAAGAAAGAAGAAAAAAACATTAAATAGATTAAATAAAATTATATATCTCGTCAACGCTAAATGTATCAATTTGTCAGTAAAGGTACTATATAAGCACCTATTAAAAGAGTCAAGGTGTTCCTACAACTTTTTTCTTTTAAATAAAATATTATTTTCTTGTATCTCCTCCTTATTAAGGTTGAAACAGGAAATTTTAAAACTATCACAACAATAGATAATTCGATGGCATCTCCCTATCATGGTATGAATGGAGAGATTTCGGTGATGTTGATTGATAATGACAAAGAGTTTGTCAATGAAATGACGAGTTGTCTACAGGCTCACGGCTATAGAGGTACCATATAAGTTTTTTTTATATATATATTTATATGACCTTTAATGTTTGATATAGCTAAATTTGATATGATGCATGTTATCTCGTTTGGGATTTTAATTTCGATTTGTTTTTTAGATTTTATTAATGTATCTTATAAATACATTTTTCCTTTTATTGTTGTAACACTATTTATACGCTTGTATATCTTATTTTTCTAGTCAGTAAATGTGTTTTGTGCGGTTATAAAATTCTTTGTATTTTATTTATATAATAAAAATATCACATACTTAATTAGCTGCCCCCCACCCCCACTCCACCACACACACACAAAAAAAGTTGTAATGTTTCACAAAGGCTTGATAATATTATACAATGTTATCAATCGTCTGTGGTGAAAGATAATTTTATGTTATTTTTAATTATTTTAATCAATTTACATCTATGTTTCACATTTAATTTTTGTATTAAAAAAAAAGGAGTTGGGGGGAGAGGCGGGGGGGGGGGGGGGGGGCTTTTCTTTATCAATTGGTAGCTGGAACTCTCGTTATTACGGTGAGACCAACTCCAGCCAGTATCCTGCGGAATGTGGCACCGATTCGTTCCATGGGAACACCTACATCTTTTAATTATTTTGATCAATTTACATCTATGTTTTACATTTCCTTTTTGTATTAAAAAAAAGGAGGGGGGTGGGGGGGGGAGGGGGGCTTTTCTTTATCAATTGGCTCTGGGTGATATAGAGTGGGAGGAGGAAATTAAATAATTTTCACAAAATTAATTTTCGACGAGGTAGGTCTGATTTTTATTAATTTATAGAACATTTTGAAAATAAAAATTAAATTTGCTAATAGAAGGGGAGAGCAAAACCAAAAGAAGGGGCTAGATAATATCAAACTGACTATCATTATTATTGAAATTGAAATAATTAATTTTTATACACACACAAAAAAAAAGAGATTTGATTATAAAATAAATATATTTCTCTTTCATTTTTTTGTTTATTTGAAAAATGCTTTCTTCAAGGAATTTTTTTCTTTTGTAATTCTACGAAAAGAAATGGTATCTTTTATTCTTATATACTAATATTTTTTATATACACATTTTAAAATTTTAATAATATTTTAATTCATTAATTTTCTTCTTAATGATTATTTAATTACTTCATTTATTTTAACTTGTGAAGATAATAGACAATTTTTGCATTATATTCTAAATAATGAATAATTCTATAATTATTATACTCGTAAATTAATCTATTTTATGACTTTCCCCTTCTTTTTTTCATTTCTCATTTACTCTATTTGGTATTCACTAGTTGTTCCTTATCTTATATGTGTTAAATAAAAAACAAAATAGAAAAAATTATATGTTAAATCATTCCTACTTGAAATTTTTCGCTAATTAATTAAAATTGATTTTTGAATAATATATTCCTACATGATCTTCTCTATTCTATTATTCAATTATTTATCCTGAATAAAACTATAAAAGGCTTTATTGTGTGACCATGTCTAATATTTGCTCACATTAATTATAATATAAGTTCATCAATATGTTCAATTGCATAAACTAAATTGTTGCACTACAAGCTAAAATTTTATAAATGAATTTTGTGTACAATTTTGTTTACTAACTTTCAAAGAGAATTTGATACAGTTATAACGGTTGATACTACTTCATCAGCGATGTCAATGCTCTCCAAAGGAAAACAAAAAATTGATGTGATCATCCTCAATGTCCGTTTATCCAATTCGTCTTTTGTTGACCTCTTAGCTCAAGCTGAAGCTCTGAATATAATCTCACTCGGTAAATCTTTATCCTATTCTTCTACTTATGACCTCTACTATAAGTAAAGTCGGTAATTTTAATTAACTGCAAAATAATAAACTATAAATTTCACTGTTAATTTATTGTTTTGAAGTTTGTAGCTAAATAAATGTGCAAAAATACATGATTTTATAGGATCATCAATGAATTATTTTTTTTTATAGTTAAGCATCATAATTATAAGTTGATAATTCTTATATATATATATATATATTTTTTTTGTATAAATCGATTGTCTTGTAATATTAGTGTTAATTAGGGATATAGGGTCGATTGAAGTGGATTTTTAAAAAATCAATGTGGGGCGGAGCCGATTAAAAATAAAAAAAATTATTAAAATTTTGTGTTAAAGCTCAACCGCCCAAATCTCATTTCAATCATTAGTATTGAATTAATTATACATATAATGCATATTGAATAAACTTAATTCAATTCTAATTGATATTTTCTTGAAATAATTATGCAGCTGTATGCGATGAATTCAATGAATTCGTCGCAAAGAAGACTTTGGATGACGGAGCTTATCTTTACCTTAAAAAGCCATTTAACAAGGAAATTTTGATCTACTTATGGCAATTTGTGCTTGCTGAAAGAAAACGAAAAGAGAAAGCGAGTGAAGGATCAAGAAAACATAAAGATCAAATGAAGGTTAATATGATCAAAAATAAAGAATCTGAAGAGAATATTGGAAAATACACATTAAAGAGGAAGAAAGGTACAAAAGGCATGCAAAACAATGCTATTGATAAGGTTGTTACGCGAAAGGACTATAAAGAATGGACTAAGGATCTTCACGCAGCATTTATGCAAGCTGTAAGCCAACTTGGAGAAGGACGTAAGTTTACTTCACTAATTATAATTTCTTTTTATTTGATAAATTCAAATAACGTAAAACTAACGTCCATTTATTTAAAATTAAAGCATAGTGATTTTCTTATTTAGATATATCGTGGATTGATATGAGAATATTATATAGTTATTAAATTAAACTTCCATTCTTTACGAATTATGTAGGGTGTTACCCTAAGGAGATCCTACAAGCAATGAACTTGCCTGATCTTACTAGGATGCAAGTTGCCAGTCACCTGCAGGTATATTTAAAAAAAAATAAAAAATTAGTAGTATATGAAGTATCATTAATTATCAAATGCCAAAAATATTTTTTTTTTATAAATATATTCACGATTTACTTTTTATTTTATGTTTTCCTTATATAATTTTTCAGAAATGTCGTCGCAATAATTGGAGATCTCCAGAAGAGAGAAAAAATATTCGTCGCCGTTCGACCAAGCGACGCACGGTCACTTTTGAGGAACCAAAAAGCAACTTTCGAAAATTTGGGGTAATGCCTTCTCCTCAAGCAAATGTACCAAATCAACAATGGAACCCATTTCCTACTCATAATACCAACAATATTTTTACTCAACGAGAGAGCTCAATTCAACGACAACAACTGTATCGTCCACAATTTCAGGTTCAACCCCATTACCTTAGCATTGACAATTCATTTTTGTTTTCCCAAACTAACAATGGAGAGAATCATAGTGGAAAAAATTACAACTCTAATCTCAATGTGGCCCAGGGAGCAACACCAATAATGCCTGCTACATACATTCAAAATGCAATAATTAATAACTACAACTTGAATGTCAACAATGTGACAACTTATTCAAGTAGGGGAATGATGCCTAATGCTTATGTTGGAAATGTTACTATTAATGGTATGGGAGCAACAAATGCAAATGCAAGTTCTCAACAATATGTGGGTGAACCAATCATGAATGGTCCAAGAAATATTGATGTGGCACCATATGAGAATTATGTTGAAGGGAGTAATTCAAATAAGAAGGAAAATCGTGACGTATATTTAAATTTTAATAACATGGATAGTCTCTTTCAGAATCTTGGACCTTCAAGTGCTAACCTGCCTAGTGAACTAGACACAGAGTTTGATCAAGTGTACTCTGATGATCAGGTTAGCGCTTCTATCTAATTACATATATTATGTGTTTGATTATTGATTCTAGATATAACTAGTATAAATTTGTGGTGCATATTTAAATCTCGATAACATGGATAATATCTTCCAGGATCTTGGACCTCCAAATGCTAACCTGCCTAATGCACAAGGCAACGAGCTTGATCAAGTTTACTCTAATATTCAGGTTAGTGCTTCTAGCAAATTTGGTATTTACGTACATTTATTCTGTGTTTGATTATTTATTTTAGCTAAAATCAGTATACAATTGTGATGCATTTCAATAACATGGATAATCTCTTTCAGAATCTTGAAACTCCGAGTGCTAACCTACCTAATGAACAAGGCAGTCAGTTTGGTCAAGTTTACTCTGATGAGCAGGTTAGTGCTTCAATCTAATTTAGTATTACATATACTATCTGTTTTATCATTGAAACTAGCTAAAACATGCATATTTGAATTTCAATGACGTGGATTATTTCTTCCAGAATCGTGGATCTCTAAGTGCTAACCTACCTAATGAACAAGACAATGAATTCGATCAAGTTTACTCTGATGATTAGGTTAGTACTTCTATCTAATTTGATGTTAAAAGAAGATTGATGTATATACTTAAAGTAGTCATTTTCCTCCTTTGGTAAAAAAAAAAAGAAGTTTTCAATGGTGATATTTTTTAAAAACTTAATATTTACTTATTTTTTAAGAAAATATTTTTCATCGCACCCATAATATCCTCTAATTTTTTTTTTAAACCTTACATATGCAGGTGTCAAGAGCATCGAGCGCCCAGTTCTCAACTATTGATGATAACTCATTAGGCTCTTTGTAATGAAAAAGTTGTTTTTCTCAAATGGAAATTGCAGTTTCATGTTTTTGGAGATTATTTTATTTGATATGACTTGGGATGTTGATTTGTTTTTGTTTTCTTATTTGAAACTAATGAATGGTATTACATTATAAGCTTTTGTTCAGTTCTTGACTTGAAATTATTGTTTTGTTTGGTATCAAAGCCATTTATTTATTTTGAGAAAGATTATATTGCATCTTAATTTAGCAGAATATTTTGTGTATCCTTATCATTTATGTGATACACTTATTATTGTGCTCAAGTTGGCTTTCAGGTAAACTCTTTTAGGATTTTTTTTTATTTCATACTTTTATTGTACATTTTAGTCTAGTCATGGCAATGAGTAAGGTCAAATTTATTTTAATTATCCAGTTTATGCTTCTATATAACTTTGTTATAGCAACACTAGTTACCCTTTATCTATTCGATATGTCTGTTTGATATGATGAAAGTTATTTTTTTAAAAAAATTTTTTTTTGAAAACTTATGTTATGGCTTGCACGTCGAAATATATTGATTAGATTTGATAAGTATGATGACTTTGAAGCGTGAATAGTTACTTTCCTTAAAAAGATATGACTTGAATACATATCGAGGAAAATGCAACTCATTCCTTTTATGATACAACAAAATTCTTGTATATACATACAGATTTTTCTTAGGCTACTTCAAGTGAGTTCTTATATTTCTAAGACTTAAGAGATGACGTTTCGTAAAAATCGTGTTCTTCAGGGGCGTAGCTACCCTTTGGCTAGGGTGTTCAATTGGACATCCTTCGTCAGAAAATTACATTGTATTTATAAGAAAAATAATAATTTAAATGGTTAAATAACGCATTTTGGACACCTTGAAAAACAATAAAAAATTTCTAGTTTAGTGGTTTCAGTCATTCAACTCTTTGTAAGTTCTTTGCAACTTGCCGGGTTCGATTTCCGTGATTTGACTTTGATGTTTTTTCTTTCATTAAAAATTTAAATAAAATTTAAAAGAATTATTTAATTTAAAGTTAATAAGAAAATTTTATTTATTTATTTCATTAAGCTATTAAAAGTGAAAATACTTTATATAAATTCTCTTTTAATATAACTCGTTTGATTCTATTATTTATTTTTCATTTCTCGTTTTTAGTCACTCAGAGGTTTGTGAAATGTTGAAGCATAAAAATGATTTCACTCTAAACTGAAATATCTCTCTTTTTCTTTGTTTGTTTACTTCCTATTAGATAAATGTGAACACTAAAGCTAAATATTATAAAGTTTGATTTAAAAAAATTTTGGTACAATTTAATTAAAAAAATTAATCATTAACCTTATGTAGTTTGATTTACAAAATTTAAGTTCACTCATTCTTTAAATTATTTTTACGAGCTATCAGATTTTTGGACATCCTTTGTACAATTTCTGGCTACACCACTGATGTTCTTTCATGAACAAATAACATTTCATAGTAGTCATTTTCTTTCATGAACAGAGAACTTTTTTTATAATAGACATGTTATTTCATGAACATCAACATGGTCTTAGGGCGATTGAGCTTCCGGCTGTTGCTCAAACAAGTGTTCCAATGAAAAATGGTGTGTATGGTATGTATATACCGAAATATTATACCATATAGAAAACTTTAATTCCGTTATTTTGATATTATGGTATTTGGTGTGGTATATGATATATATTTTAAATTTTTTTGTACTCGTACCTTATTTGGTATTTAGATATAACATACCGAAATATCAAATATCATATCGAAGTATATAACTACATAAATAACATAATACATTATTTAAATACTAACAAATATGCAACTAGTATTAGTATAAACTAAATGTTTAGAAGCTAAAACTTTGATTACTCTATGTTGATCGAAATGTATTTGAATTGTATTGATTAACAAAAGGAGTTGTTTGTACTTTATTTTGCATGTGTATTGCTATATATGTAATGTGTTAGTATGATACAATTGAGACCTTTTTGTAATTGTCGAAGTCATAGTACTCTATTATACGAGTATATATTAGTCGAAGTTGAACAAATTATGCTTAACAATTACCATACCATGAAATACTGAAACCGAACTTCATTATATCGAACCATACAAAATCAAATTTATATGATAATAATATAACGTTTTAAAAAACGAATACCGAAAATATGGTGTCGAAACTTTCAAATACTATATCATACCATACTATGCCCATCCTTAATTTATTGGGTTATCAGTTTAAACATTAACTAAAACCTTAAAATCAAAAATCGATAGCTCAAAAAAGAGTTCACAAAACCGTTTTTCGGTGAACACGTAACCCAATACCAATATATTAATAACATTATTTATCAATTGAGCCGATTTTTGCACACCCCTAATTTCAGATGAATTCAATTACAAAAATATTGAGTTTAAATGAACTCGATATCAATACATTAGATATGCCATTAATCAAAAGTAGTGATGGTGAAAAACAAATTAATTTCTTCCCAGGAAATGGAGTGTTGCATTATTTTTGTACATCTGGTACTAATGGTACATGGCAGCTATAACACAGATTAAGTTAACACAAACAACTTTTATTAGCCTGAGAATAGTACAAATTTTTCTTCTATAATCAAGTGAACCATGCTGTGTTGACCTGGAAATGAGCCCCAAAATTTTCTCTACCCGAGAGCCGAGGGCATATAAGCGATTGCTAGAACAATGAGTAGGCCATTCACAAGTTTCTCTCGATGAATTCCCAAATTCTCTCCTCCATGTATATACGATCTCTCAGTCTCCGAGGCATGTGACGTTCATCTGGGAATATTAACAACTCGTAAGGCTTTCTGGCTGCCACAAGTGCGTTAATAAGCCTAGCAGTGTGCCTAAAATGCACATTTTCATCGATCATGCCATGCACGAGTAAAAGCTTCCCTTTGATCTTGTCAACGTGGTGCATTACGGAGCCCTCTTGATAGACTGATGGATTTTCAGATGGTAGGCCCATATACTTTTCTGTGTAAAATGTATCATATCCGTCCCATGATGTAACAGGAGCACCAGAAACAGCACATTTGAATACCTCAGGGTACCTTGCCAACGCCATAGCTGAGAGATACCCACCGTAGCTCCATCCATATAATCCAATGTGGCCCTGTTTAGCAAGCCCTTGTTTCTGGAGCCACTCAGCACCTGTCAATTGATCATCAACGTCAACGAGGCCAAATTTATGTTTGAGTGCACCCTCAAACATGAGTCCTCGTCGAGCAGTGCCTCTATTGTCCATCTGTAAAAAGTTGAGCAGTTAAAGTTCGGAATGTCTTTTCTTTACTTTATTTATTCTGTATCGTCTATAATAGACCTAAATGAATCAATCTCCTTTGAGAAACTACAGAAAACTCAATTTAGAAAATACACAACAGACGAGGAACGAGATCAGCAATTTTAAGATAGAGAACAAGAGAGGTTTATAACAACAATCAGACGTCAACCTATTGGACAAAACTGGTATGGCCAGGTACAACTGAATGAATTTATTATGCATATGGACGGAAAAGAGAAGAGGAGCAAACCTTCCATACTAAGATGCCTTTGCTTCGTAGATACTGAGCTCTCATGTCAACCGTGTTTGTCCACGAGTCACACACAAGCTGTACACTGGGACCACCATACACTTCAATCATAGTTCTGTATGGAGGAGGTCCAAACTTCATTGGATCTGGGTTGTATAATGCCCCATACAAAGTAGTTCCATCCTTGGCCTGTATCTGAATTATTTCTGGTAATTCAAAATGGAGTTTCCTGGATTGTGGAATACTGACAGGTTGATCAAATAAATGCATAATCAAGTTTCCGTCATGCAAGGAGCAGAGTGAAATTCTGGGAGGTGAGACCAAGGAATCATGGATATCTATGAATCTTTGCATTTGACGATCAAGCACAACGACATGTTTTCCATGTCCATTAGTCAATCTCAAAGGGGACTGCAATGGACCGTTAGCTTCGGGGAACAATTTAGCACAGTAAAGGTGAGATTCCATAGGCCCATCCAAAGTTCCTGTAAAATATACAAGGCCAGTAACTTCATTTACACCCGCAATTTGTTCAACCAACCAATCACCTTGAGTTATCGGTCCCAAACAGACTCCATTTGTGTCATGAAGATACAAATGTTTGAACCCTGTTTTCTCGCTGGCCCAAATAAATGCACCATTAGTTCTGTTGAGTCCTTTGTCCAAAGGTATAAAACAATCGTGAAGATTGACCCATGTATCATGTTCTTCAACCAATATTACACTCCTTTTCCCTGTCTTGATATCAAATTTAATGATTTTCAGTTTGGATTGTGATCGACTCAAGACTTGTGCAGTCAGAATATTTCCATGCATCCAATTCACTCTCGCCAAATATTCCTCGTCCTCATTTGCTTTGTCCTTTACACCACAAAGAAGATCCATCCATGTTATTTGACCCCCGTTAGCTGAAACCACTCCCAGGCGAATTTTGACATTTGGCCCTCCAGCAAAAGGGTAAGCGTGGTCTTCCTGTGCCTCAGGACCAACGGAACTTTTACCTTGATGCATAATTCTGAATAAAGGTATCCCAGATGAATCAACCTGTGTGAATGCTATATATTTGCTGTCCAATGACCACCAGTACCCATTTTTCCGTTCCATCTCCTCCTACAATCAGCAAAAATGAAATGTTTTCTAGCTAAGACCAAGAAGGTGAAAATTGAAGCGTCTTGCA